TTTTATCTTGATGTAAATAAAACACGTTAACTAAACGTTGTCTTTATTGTGAGCGTGAGGGCTAAACCTCCAAAGGGCCAATCAACAGATTAACAAACCGGCACTTAACATGTAAATCCTCAGTCAGAAATTAAATCCAGCGCCTTTAAAGGGATTTATGGACGGAAGAAAGGCGCCGAGAGGGAGAGGTGGAGGCAGGAGAAAGAGGTGGAGAGGGGGAGGTTTGGTGTGCGCGGGGTTAAAATAAGAACAACAGAACAAAGACAAGAGGAGAGAAAAGACAGGGAGCAGATGGAGCACAATATGTGGACACACCCACAGTAAAAAAGCTTCTGCGCCACCAGAGTCCAGAGGAAATACGTCTAATTTAACCACTTTAGCTAATTTCACTGTTTTTATGTGAGAAACTCCTGATTTCATGTGAACCTCTGTGCTGAGAGGTGGAGCGCGAGAAGCCGGCACAGAGCGAAGCTCAGCCGGGTGAAGCAAAGCTGGATGATCCTTCAAAGGGTTAAAGTCCCAGAGAGGCTTCAAACAGCCTTCAGAGTCTGAGCACACACACACACACACACACACACACACACACACACACACACACACACACTATTGTTTTCTAACTGGTAATTTTCTGGTTTGGCAGGAAACAATGATCCTGCTTCCAGCACACACACACACACTCAGCTGCTGATTAACCTGCCGTTACAGAGCGAGTGTGTGAATCTGTTATTTATTTATCCTCGAGTCTTCCTGAGTGTCTGTTTGTATAAACTTCAGCCGACTGCACACGCGCTCACGAGGCTGCTGAGCTTTAATACGGTCGTAAGTTCCTCTAATGTCCACTAAAGACTCCACCCTCAGACTGAAACGTCCATGTTTACAGCACAAGTGTAAGGTTTATTGAGGCAGAGATGCAGATTAATGACAGAGCCAGGAGGTTTTAGAGAAACATGAGGACGTGTTTGTAAGAAGAAGCCGTCACTTAAAGCATTTTAGGCCTAATTCAGAGTTTCTGTGGAGACAGTAACCAGCACAGATCAGTAACAGACACCAGGTGTTGTTTTACAGGTGGTGGAGTTCCACAGGGCTCTATTGTCGGTCCTCTGCTTTTTATTCACATGTCATTATGAAACTCGTTTCTAACAGCACAACTGTGATGCAATAATTGTTTTTGCATATGAAACCGGAGGAGTTGTACTTACATCTTATGCCATCAGCTTGTCCTCGGTCACAGTTTCCTTCCACATATAGCTTTGCAAAAACTGCATAAAAAGCACTTGCAGCAACAAAAACATAATATTCCAGAAACACGCTTTGCCAATCCGATCAGCTGTTCATAACACTTCCTACGTCCATCAGAGCGAACTATCGCATGTCCGCCATGACCTGCCCGAAACCGAAAGTGACATCATTTTCGCGGAAATGTAGTTTTTTACCATCAGGGCCTCATGAGCCTATACTGGTGTTTTTAAAAGTTATGTTTGACTTTATGACTTTCTGTGTGGTTTCTGGGATGCTTAGGACTCATATTGCACTGCTGGAAATAGTTTATTTTGATGCATATGCTGCTTTTTGCAAATTTGCATTATAATATTTATTTTTGTTTTTCCTGCAGTGTATAAAAATTGGTGTATTTCAAAAATAAAACTATGAAGACACTCAAAATAAATTTCCTGTGGTGGGAAACTATTTTGTGCAACTTTTTTGTATTTACAGTTTTGAGGGATAAGCCTCTTAAATTTCTCTAACTAGAAATATATGTTAAAAAAACAAAAACGATTTTCAATTTTTTTGTAGTTTATTGCACTTTTTTGCAATTTATGTAATTACTATGCACTTAATGCAGACATATTATTAAAATCTAGGCTGTAATGGTTGTATTGATGTATAGCAACTTGAAATGCTCCCAAAAATGGCTCCACAGCATGTAAAAATATAATATAAGTCTTAAAGGGTTAATAACTCAGCTGTTTAAACTGTAAGGAGGCTTAAAGTTTGCATTATTAGGGCTAAGTCGTAGCTGTCGCTAGGCTAACCTCAGCTAAACCGAACTGGACCTCTGTACTGAGGTTTTGCTGTTGGAGCCTGTTTAATGGCACCACCTGACCAATGACATGCCAGAAGTCTTGGCTCCGGTTTTAATGAGTGAAATGTTACCGAGCACTAACAGCAGGTATCTGTGGATCAATAACCTGCAGTTAAACCATCTATCAGCTATCAAACAGTTTGTTGTTTCAGCTCTCAGACCCTCGGCCCCTGCGTCTCTACTTCCTGTCCTCTTCCTGTTGGGGAGGGGGGGTCACGTGACAGTCAGCTGCTCCTTTGTGTTGACAAACAGCGTGATAGATTAGGTATTGGTAACCAGTGACATGCTGATCTGAAGCAGCTGCAGCGCCGTTGGTTTCCTGCCTGCTGGTTTTAAACTGGCTTCCCTCAGCGGGATCACACACACGTTTAACTCTTTTAAAGCTGGTTTAGCTTTTTTGGGGCGTCAACAGCTTCTCTGATCACATGACCGCTTTATCAGGAAAACTAAACCTGTGTCACATTTAGATGTGCTAATAAACCAGCTTCTGCTCTGAGCTATCAGGCCCTGAAACTGCTAACGCTGGCTTGTTATCTCCAGATGGCCCTGAAGCTAAAACCTGGATTTAAACACGGTGGAGTCACGCGTGAAGACACAAGGATGATTGTTTTACTGCTGCTCAGACACAGCGCTGAACGTGTCAGAGGATTCCTGATCAATAACCAATAAATCCTCAAATCAGCTGCAGTAAAAAGCTCCAGAGCGCTGTCTGAGCGCGCTCTGTGACCACATCAGCCTGGGCTCCTCTCACTTTAGAGCTCAACAACAAAAACCAGAGAAACGCCGACTGAGCACGCTCAGACGCGTCCTGGTCACAGCTGATGATCACAGAGTAAACTGAGAGTGAACAGGATGCTTCCTCGTTTATCGTTTTATTCTCATGTTTATTTATTCCCCCCGTGTTTGCTGATTGGCTCGTTCAGATTTCATCTTGATGTAAATAAAACACGTTAACTAAACGTTTGACACTTTTATAAAAGTGCAAAAGTTTTCAGTTTAAGTTTTACTGTAACGCACAAAATATAAAACGACTTTTGAGTGACTCTGATTTCTAATCTACGTGTTTTATCTTCTAAACAGCAACTTTACCTCATGTTTTACGTTTGTGTTAAAACTAAAACAGTGAACACAAACACATCAGCTGTTTCCACCTCAAACTGTCTGCTGTTCTGTTTTTGTGTGAACTGAACTCAAACGTGACAGAAACAAGTGTCCTCGACCTTGACCTTTGACCTGCTAACATGTCATTACTGTGGAGGCTCCTTAGCATGAGTGAAGAAGTAAACCGCACAACGACAGCCCTCATCAGAGCCTCACAGCCCCACACGGCTCCACCGCCGTCGCCCTGCAGAGGCTCACAGAGGCCGGGAGGCTGACCCGCAGCCTCGGTATGAGCAACGGACCCGAACAGTTAGTCAGCTACTCATGAACATGCAGGTAAAGGTGTGCACAGCTCACTACTGCACCTGCTTACAGTCTTCTCACTGTGCAGAGGAATCCTGACAGGGTCAAAGCCTGAACACGATCCTGCTGATGGGACAGAGGAGAAAGCGAGTTTACTGCCGTAATGTCTGATTCTACTGCAGCTCAGCGGGACTCTACTGCAGTAAAGTCTGATTCTACTGCAGCTCAGCGGGACTCTACTGCAGTAAAGTCTGATTCTACTGCAGCTCAGAGGACTCTACTGCAGTAAAAGCACATTTGTGGACTTTTGTTTGAATGTTTGTCAAACTTCTCTGAGCTGAACGTAAAAACTCATTAACCACAGAAGAAGAAAGGTGTGTGACTGAACCTCTCTGAGGATCGATGGCTCTGTAACATTACGTCATCGTTTCTGGGCCGATGCGGATCGATCAGCAGCTGTGTGTATTGATCAGTACTCACCTTCCTCCGCCCTGCAGGAGCCCAGCAGCAGCGGGAGGAGCAGCAGCAGCAGCCCGCGGCAGGAGGAGGCCCGGCCGTGGGCCGCGGGGCCCCGCTGAGCCCCCATTACTCCGTCCCGGTCGC